CTTAATAAATTTTACTAAGAAAGTGAGACATAAATGAAGCTAAGCTCGTACAAATGAAGCAAAGCTCTCCACGTCTATGAAGACCTCTTTCGAAATCACAAGAGCAGAGTGAAAAACCAACACGAAAGATTTAAATTGCTTGCTTCGACTTTCGACAGAATCTGGTCAACAAACTCAGTGTGATTTTTATGATAAACATACACACGTTAGTCTCAATCGGAAACGCAAACGTTTATTATATCACATATATTATAACACATGTCGGGATGCCGAAGTAAGCGAGAAATCGAGAGGGAGCGCGAAAAGTCTCGATGAAAGTAGCCGCGTATCAAATATATCGTGACGAAATTGAGATTGGTAATCGAAGGCAGCAACTTCCTCGCGAGGCGAGAAGAAGAACAAGCGAGGGGGAGACGTGTCGAGGTGGTGCAGCGCAGGCTCAAATCGGATAGTTTGTTCATTAGAGATATTTTCCGACGGATGAACGGCGAGAGGCGTTCGAGGGAGCGTGCTCAGAGTGTATTTGTCTTGATAAGTTTGAGGCAGGAAATGAGACTGTCGATAGGGAAGCGAGCACTGGCTCTCCTTAAAAGAAGCAAAACCTCCAGAAATGAGGATTTCGATTCATTTAACGAGGAATAACGGTTGCACCGAAATATCTCAACAGTCTGGAAGCAGCCCTGCACAAGTGCGAATTCTTCAAGAATAAATGTCTCGTTAAACTAACGCTGTACGTATAATACGGGAATTCTTAAACGTTCCGCGCCATCAACGTATTTACGAAAATAAATAAATAAATAAAAGTATTAACGATAAAGTAGAATATCGAGTAAATATGTTATCTTTGAAGAACAAGTATTCTGACGGCGGTATTTACAGAATTCCATACAATATAGTAAAGAAGTATATTATTTAGATACGTCTAGTTTGCAGCTTAAATGCTATGTTAAAAATGGTCGATAATAGAGAACTGAAAAGTAAAGAGAAGTCATTCATTATCCAACGCATATTGCGTCGTGCTCTTTTCGAAACACAATTCCACGAATAGGAAACTAACTGCATCCGAATATCCGCTATTACACATCGATGGCAGTCAGAATTTCATTGGTGTTACGACCATTCGGAAAAGGGCGATTGACTCGACTGCATCGCGTTACCTTTATATACCAAAAGCGCATATAAAACTTAATGTAAATGCAATAGTTATGAACGTAGTTATGAAGTTTGCAATAATCGCGCGTTTAAGAATCCATGCGGCAGAGAACATGCTTTAATGCTATTATAGAATAATCAATCTATTACGTGTTCAGAGAGACAGAGAAGAGAGAGAGAGAGAGAGAGAGAGAGAAATTCTCTTTGAGAGAATTCTATTTGAAAATCTTTAAAAATAAAATTTAATTTTAACTCCATAATCAAAATAATCAGTCATATAAAATATCTTAAAAATGAATTTTGATGTTATGATTGTATACAACATTGATATTAAAAACAGGGAATTATGATATAATAGTTGAGAGAAAGATGTAATGCAATTAGGCACTAAAATCCAGCTTGACCATTAGAGGCGTTTCTATTTCTATTGCTATTCGTACTATAATTCACATAAAACGAATCTACTTCATTTCATCATCGCGTTAGATAAAATTATCTACTTATTTTTTCATTCGAGTACTTGCTGGTATTCACCGATAGACTTGCTCCATCGCAAGCAGTTTTATCAAAAGTGTTATCGATTTTATACTTTAGCGCGACCAGTAGAAAAAGGATGACAAAAAGCAGGAGCAAGACAGAATGAGGTGAAAGGAAAGAGAGAGAGAGGGGGGGGGGAGAGAGAGAG